CCACAGCTTCTCTGGGCACCCTGTGCCAGGGCCTCAGCACCCTCACAGGGAAGGATTTCTGCCTCCCATCCCATCTCCATCTCCCCTCCTGCAGCTTCAGGCCATTCCCCTTGGCCTGTCCCCCCCGCCCCGGTAAGCGGTCCCTCTCCAGCTCTCAGAGCAGGCTGTGAGAAGGTTGTGAAGATGCTTTGAAGCTGCCACCACGGCAGCCCTGCGCACTGCCCTTCTCAGCGTGGTTTTCAGGTGCTTCGCTTTGCATCTGATGACAATTCCACTTTTGTCTTTAATTAATAATCAAAAATGTCTACTTTCTTTATATCTCTTTTTTTTTTTTAAGCAAGACTATTTTTTTTCTTACAAGCTGCATGAGAGCAGGGACTGCAAGGCGAGGCTGGTTTTGTGTGCTGGGAGAGGAAGAGGAGGCTGATTTTCTCTCTTGTGGGAAGAAACTGTAGTGCTAACACTTTCCTGCATGTTTTTGGATGTGTGCATGTGGATAAACAACGAGGGAGTTAAATAAAATGGTAAACGCTCCCTGAAACTACAGGCTACCTTCAAAAGCACTCATTTATAACAGACTCTATCCAGCTGCTGCGGAAACACCAGCAGAAAAGAAACACATTGTAGAAAAACGTCAGCAAATCTGAGGTTTCTCTGCTTCTCCCCAGTCTTCTGTTCATTAGAATCAGTTTGAAAATGTTCCTAAGACTTTGAAAGCGGCTCCTTGCCTTCTCCGAATGGGAGCAGCCCCACAAAACTCCTCCTGCAGGGATTCACAGGCGTCTGCTGCGCTCTCCATCCTCAAAGTGATACTTCCCCGTGACATCCCAGTTCCCTGCTATATAAACCGTGGGGTTTTATCCCATATCGTAACGCAGATTCTCTCAGAACCCTTTCAGATTTCATGCTGGGTTCATTAATTAAATGAATGGTTATTTTCATGATCCATTTCTGAAGAATTTCAGCTTGATGCTTCTAGTTTCTTATTCCTAAAGGGAACGTCATTCTTCCCCTTAAACAATACCGCCATAAGCTTAAGCTACGAAATCACCATTTTCTCCCACCTAACAGTTTCCATAGTTGTGCTATTTTAATGTTTTATCAAAGAGATGAGATCTATTGCATTCTCTTCTTCTGTTGGATTTCCTTCATGTAAAAATCCTCTTTATCAAATAAAAATGTCCCATTAGTCTGGTGCACTTTGTATTACCTTCCTTCAACTTTTAAAGTTGTTTTAAAGCCTTAAATTCTATCGTGGGCATGGTGGTTAGCCTAAAATATGCCTGATTCACCCTCTGCGTTTCCTTCAATGTAGATGATACCTTTATGACGTCCCAGTCACATAGCGACCCTTTCCGATTGTCTAAGCAAGCCCCGCGTGCTCCTGGATTTGCAGTTTCAGGCTCTCAGCCGTGAGTCCATCGAGGTTCTTCTCTGCCCCTGACTCCTTTAGCTGCTCTGCCCTGTCCCACACGCTGGATGTCACCTTCGTTATGGAAAAGTGGCGTATTAGGGCTGAGCCCACTTAAATGTCCTTAACCTCAGGCTCAGGCTTTTTCATCAGCTCATAGAAGTAAACTCCTTCTGCGTGCTCTCCCTGCCCTTCGATCCGCTCACTCCTCGGCCACCGAGAGGGACTCTCCTTGCTGGCCGTTCCTCCTGGACACCCTTCTCCCAGTCCTGTTTCCCCATGCTCTCTACCCAAACTATCACCGTTCTCTTTTGCTCGCGTCTCATCTCCTGCCTCCAGCCCTCCTGTTTTTATGACAAACATTTCCTCATCTGTGGGAAGGTGGTCCTTGAGGTATCTCCAGTGTTTGTATTCTCCTTGTATTCTCATACTTCACACAGTCCTGTGCTCTACTGGTGTTTACTGGTTTTCTTCCCATCTTTTGGTTTTCTTTCCTCACTTGTTGCTCTGTCACGTGTTTTCCTGATTGCTCACAAAAATCTTCGTTCTGGCTGAGGTTCCTAGGCTGCCTTGCCTAGGGATTGCTTTCCCTGTCAAACACTGCAGCGTAGAACAAAGGCTGCATTGTCCAAGCATCTGTTGAACACCAAGTCAAATGCCCGTGGGGCTGAGGAGTGGTGCTTAGTGTCCTTCTCCCGCCTGTCACCAGCATCACTCCCCTCGTTCCAGATGATGGAAAAGTTTGATGGCTATTCCAAAGCCATCGATTGCCTTAAAAATTAGAGCATCTCCTGGGACCATTTTTGTCCTACTGCCCTGCGTGCCACTGAGTGGCCGCTCTTTAGCTCCACCAGCGACACGGGTTCCTCAGCTCCAGCCCAGCTTTGCATCCTCTGGCATCCCCGCGGCCACCGCTCCGCCCATCCGAGGTTCAGGAGCACCAGCACCCGCTCTCCTCTGCAGGGATCCCGCCCCAACAAACGTCCCCTTTCCTTCTTATTTACCTCATTGTGCTGCCAGCGCTATTCACCAGCTTCTTACCGCTTTTCCCACAAAGTTTTAGGAATTGCACTTGACTCCGTGTTATTCTCAGGGCTTGTCAATACTATCTAACAGTCACAGTGCGGGTCTCCTCATCCCAGTGTGCAAGTGAGCAACTTATGATGGAAAGCTATTTTAGAGAGAAATTGCAAATGCTTCCTAATGCGCCATACAAAATATTGACAGCAGCAGCATATTGCAGCACCTAATTACCTTAGTAGAAGGTTATACTTCTGTTCCGCATGGGCGGCTTTTTTTTTTGCTTGCATATCTGCAGAAAAGATTTTCAATTAACATTGACCTTTAATACTCCGACTGGTTTTTGAGTCTACAGATGGCGAAATGGACTACAAATGAGATTTTGCAATATACCTTGTTCTTTGTATTTCTCAACTGATTACTTTCAGGCAGTTCGCAGTACCTACACCGGTGCATTCAGCGCGCAATTCCCCCGCAATCTCCGGTGCCATGTTCAAACCCCCGAGATATTGTGTAGAAATGCTGTCAAACTCTTCAGATATATGTGTTTTCATTCTCCAGCTGTACTTTTTACCCATTGTGAAAAAAAAACCAAAACACCAAAGTCTTAGCTTTATGGAGGAATATTTCTGAACTAAAACTTAGGAGGCAAGGAATCTGGGGTACATCTGCTTCTGACTGTAGGGGTGGTGGTGTTCCCTGAGCTCTGGCTAAGGCAACTATTATACCCCGAAGAGCACGATTTTTAGTTATTGTTCTAATAATAATTGTAAAAAAGCTAAAACACAGCATAGTAAACAAATCACATTTGTTGGAGTCACTACCACACCAAAGATGTTTTAAAAAACATTTAGTAGAACTATGTTTTCTATTTCATTGTTGTTGTCAGCAGGGAGATCCATACTTGCTTTAAACGAGATGTCTTGAATCTGATTAACAATGACAAATCTAATAACCTTTTGAAAAGAAAAAAATATTGATTTGGATTCTAAGATGTCATTATAGTTTTTGGTGGAAAAAAAGAAATCTCTTGGTCCCTTAACTAAGCAAGCAGAAGTTTATTGTGTCTTGGGAAAAGGACAGTAATTATGCACAGGCACGCATGCCTACTCCTGATCCTTTTGGGCTGAAACTGGAGCAGAAAGGGCTGCTTCGATGAAGTCATTGAGTCCAGTGCAGAAATAACTGACACTTTCTACCTATTGCTCCACTGAACACTCACAGCAGGAAAATGTATTTGTTTATTGTGTGTTTGCAAGATAGGCTTTTGGTTTTATGATGATTTGTGAATTAACAAATGACTTGTGTTTTGAGGTTTGACTCATAATGTATTATAGCTCTATTCAGTCTAAGAATCAATAGCAAGTTGATGGTATTTAAAAGCTCTTACATTTTCATACTTATGGTTTCACCTTTTTTCCCAGGTGTTACTTGGAAGATGGAGCTTCAAAAGGTGCCTGGCTGAATCGGTCGAGTATTATTTTTGCTGGAAGTGATAAGTGGTCAGTAGATCCTCGAGTTTCAATCGCAACAGCAAATAGAAGAGAATACAGCCTGCAGATACAGGACGTAGACGTGACAGATGACGGTCCATACACTTGTTCTGTGCAAACTCAACACACTCCTAGAACGATGCAGGTGCACTTAACTGTACAAGGTATGTGTTTAAACCAATTGCAAATCATTACTGGAGATGTACTAGAAAAAATAGTTCATGGATGGGAAACGTCAGCTAAGCACATTTTAAAGCTTTTTTTTTTCTTTCTTTCATTTTTCTTGGATATATGTAGCCATAGACCATATGTGCCTTTGGCTCTGGGCCCCTGCAGATAGATAATTAGCCCAGAAGGGTCTCGGACCTGCCAAAATCAGGTTTAAATCCTCACTCCTACTCTGCTGACAGTTGAACAAGGTGTAAAAATATAAGAGGAAAATACCAGTATGACAGTCGAGGTATAGGTCCCTGCAGGTATAGGTACTCTGCAGGGGTCTGTCAGGTTGGTACAGGTCTCCTGCACGGCTCAGAACTCGGTTGTTTTGCACGGTATTCAGCCTAGTCAAGGTTCAACCGTGTCAAGGTGCTGAGCTCACGGAACGTTTACAGCCTTTGCGTTTTAACGTTGATACCAAATATTGCCAGAAACATCCTCGTTTCCTCTATGATGTCAAGACGTGTTCAGAAACAGCCAGTGCCACCACTGCAGCACGCCATGGAAGGGTCAGCTCTCCTCGGGGACAGGACGAGGCCGCAAGACGTGCTTTGATGAGCACGTAGTAAGTAAGAGCATCAAATAAGAGACGCCTGATGGACGCAGTGAGACAGAGGCCAGAGCGCAATCTCTCGGGCGCAGTTTGCAGGTGGGCACGGCCATCAGCTGTGCCGGCAGCCCAGCGCCCGGCTCCAGCGTTCCCACAGGACTATTTTAATGTGAGTTTTAAAGGAGGAGGATGAATTGGTTTGTGGGCTCCTTCAGAGGCGGCTCCTCGAGGGCAGCCCAGGGGAGAGCACCAAAACGCTTCATCCCGCGGTGCTCCCGCACCCATGGGCAGGGCGGCAGGTCGCTCCTCGGAAAGCTCGTCCTCTTCCCGAGCAGCTCGGCTGCAAGCAAGGATTCACCAGGCGTTTTATCCCCATCAGCAAGCCCCACAGCCCCGAAGGTCTTCTTCCTGCTCCCACAGCACCCAGCTTACCTGCCCGCGTGGGTATGTCCTACCCCCTTGAAGCTTCAGGTAGGCAGCTTTCTGTAAATTCTGTTGGCACTTAGAAGATGCAGTATTTCATGTGAGCACCTCAAGTGTCTTCCCTGGTGTGTGCCATCACAAGCTTTGTTATAAAAACAAGAATTATGCTTAAAAAAAGCAAAATTCGAAGGAATAAAGCAATTTTTTGAAAATAGAAATTCTATTAGATTTACCAATTTAATAGAAATTAATTAAAACCAAAATAAACAAGCGAAGACAAAACAAGCTGATTTTGCATTAAAATCCATAGGGTTTGTTTCTTCCAGTCCAGTTTTCTCACAGAAATATTAAGATCCCAATATAGTTAATAAGAACAATCCATTTATTTCTATTATAAGCGCTGCAGAACAACAGCAAGATTTACACACATGAAGATAATATTTATTGTATTGTTCCAGGGTGAACAATTCTTAGTTTTGATTGTCTTTATAATAGTTAATGTCCTTGTGCAAGGGGCTAAAAGAAAAGGTGGAAATTAATTGCATATATAAAACGTATAAACAGGAGCTTAAAATTAATTAGGCTAACTACAAGTATATAGAGAAATAATAACTCAATAGTTAAAAATATGCATAATTATTAAGCGATTGCATTTATATCTTCAGAAATGCAAAGTATAACCTAAGGCTTTAACTTATTAGTCTTTGGTGTAATCATCATTAACATTTTCTTTTGCATTTTTATGAGTAATACAGCAATGAATATAAACCAGAAGAATTTAAATGGCAATCTCTATTAATCCATATGGCACACCAAAATCCCTTATAAATAACGTGTATTAAATGCTTCTCAAACTAATTATCCTTAACCGCTGGACCTTTAGCCCCCGATGGTTTGTAAGAATGTTAGGCTCCAGCTCTGTGAGAGCCGAGAGTATTTGTTGCGTCAGGAACATTGTGTTATTAGTGCAGCCGAAAAGCCGTGGCGCGCTCATTCGTACAACCTTGCTCAGCGGCGGCTGTCGCGTCAGGACCCGTAAACGCGCTGTTTACGTGGGGGGGCTGCTGAGGGATTGCAGAAGTATTCGTACGCCATCAGGTTGGGAAGGTGGAAGGAAGAAGCTGTGACAGTATCAATTATTATTTCCGTTGTGTATATATATTCAATTACTCCAATATTATTTCAGTTATATTTTACGCAGGAAGTAGGGACCAGCGCCATGAAGCATAGCCAGAAGTGAGCCATTTTCAGGACAAAGATGAAAACAATCACCGTCCCTGTATCTTTTCCTGTGTAGCGCTCTCGGCAGGAAGGGAACCCTGCCGAGCTCCCTGCTTGTAGAGAGAGGTCCTGCGTCTGCTGAGCGGCAGAGCGGGATCAGCATCCCTGGCGGGCGCTCCATCCCACTTCGGTGATGATTGTGGCCATTTCTTTCCATTCCAGCTGATATCTTTATGTACATATTGCTATAGCTATTAACAATATCCAGCCATGTGGTGGATGCTCAGTGGGTGGGATGGGAGTCGCACCGACCCCTCATCCCACACGGGTGGGATCCCACCTTGAGTCAACATTGGGTTCTGCACGGTAATTTAGAGATCTGCATCGCACTTACTGCGGTCGTTACCTACCCAGCTCTGAGCAGGACTTGTGCGTGCAAGGGCTTTTAAACAGGTCGCTTCGTACTTACGCTGCTAATAAAGCCATCGCTTCACCTTCCGTGTGCTGGGACGCGGGAGGGGAGGATGCAAGATTGATGCGTCCTTTGAGGTGGAGAATGACCTGTCGGAAAGTAACCGAGACTGTAAGGAAACATCAAACAGCTAATTGGTGCTATAAGCTTATATATCCCTTCCTGCCGAATAGGGTTCACAGGGATGGTATAATAACATTTTATGGAAGTAGTTCAGTGTTTCCTTTTAATATTTTTCATGGCTTTGTATGTCAAGATTAGAAACAACTTCTGCTATTGGGGAGAAATAAATGAAGGGAAAAGCAGGTCTTTAGCCAAAGTAAAATCATTCAGTCAGAGGGCTGGGTTTCCTTTTACGTTGTGAATAAATGATCAGCAGTAGACCTAGAGCAGCACAGGAAATAACGGGAGAAAAAGAAAATTTAAAAGCAAAGTTTTAGCCCTTTAAAATTCCTCTGCCCTGCAGGCTGTATTCTGTCGAGTGGCGTTGAAAG